CAGGCCCAGTTTGGGATGGAGGAAGAAGAGGGGAGGCTGCAGGCGCTGCGACCCCTCGATACCCCAACGAAGTTGGGGGTGGTGGTGGGGAGGAAATAGGAAATAAAAAGGATGGATATCAACCATTCTTTTCGCCTCCCTCCCCCCGTTTCTCAGCGGCAGGAGCAGCAGGACCCGGTTCCCCGGTGCGCCCCGCGGCCGGGCGCGCTCCCCCCGCCGCACAACAAAGGCCGGGCCGGGGCGCGGGGGAAACTTCCCGGCACCTGCCCCCCCGCGCTCCCCACCGCTCTCACCTGGCCTGCGCCTCGTCCAAACTCTGGTCCGTGATGGTCATGATCTGCTGTAAGATGTCTCCGATGTCCTGCTTCCTGCCTGCCTCCCCCTCCGCCCCGCCTGGTCCATCCTGCATGTGCTGGGACAGGCCCGGGTGCCCCGGCATCCCCACCCCGCTGTGCGTGTGCATCAGCCGCGGCTGGTCATCCATCGCCGGCCGCCGGCCCCGCTCCGCCGCCGCCTCCTGCCCTGGCTGCCGGGAGCGGCGCGGCTGGGCTGGCCGCCTGGCTCCTCGCTTTCTTTTCTTGCTCGCTTTCTTCTTCTTCTTTCCTCCCCCCCCTTCCTCCTCCTCCTCCTCCTCCTCCCCAGCCTCTTCCTCTTCGCTTTTTATTTATCCTTCACGCTGGCGCCCGGCTCCGCGGCGGGGAGGAAGAGGAGGAGGAGAAAAAAAATGAAGGAGGGGGGAGAGGAAAAAAAAAAAAAAAAGAGGGAGAAAAAAGAAAGGGGAAAAAATCCCTTTGGCTGCTGGAGGAGGAGGAGGAGGAGAAGGAGGGGGGAGGGAGGGAGGGAGGGAAGGAGGAGGGAGGGAGAGAGGGGGGGGGGTTCCGGGGAAGGGAGGGGAAAACGGCGGCGACTCCAAAAGCAGGGCAGCTCAGCCCCGCGCCGGGGAGGCAGCGGGCGGGCCAGGGGCAGGGGCTGCGCCTGGGGAGGAGGAGGAGGAGGAGGCGGCGGCGGCAGCAGCGGTGGCCGCGGCGGGGCGGCCGCCCGCGATGGCAGCGCCGGAGCTGCCGCGGCCGGAGCGCGGCGGAGCCCCCGCGCAACCGGGGGAGGGCTCCAAACTTTCCCCCACCCTGGGGCCGCGCTCGGGGCTGGCTGGGCCCCCCCTGCGCCGGGCCTGCGCGCACCGCTCCGGCCCTCGCCGCCTGCTTTTGTTCGGCTCCGGACTCCTCAAACTGGCACGGAGGAGCCCGGGGGCGGGGGGAGGAAGGGGCAGCGGCGCCGCCCGCCCCCCCGGCCCCATTGGCGGCGGCGGCGGCGGGAGGGACGGCCCGCGGGCCGCACCGCCCCCTGCGCGCCCGCCCGTCAATCTCCGGGTTCAGAGGTGGGACGGGGCCGCGCCCCGCCCGCGCCTTAAAGCGACCGAGCCCGAGCGAGCCCGGCGCCGCGGGGGGAAGGGGCGGCCCGGGCCGGGGATGGGGGCCCTCGCCGGCCGCCATGCGCTGCTCAGCCCCTGCTCGGGCCCCGGCCCGCGGTCCCCGCCGGTCAGAGCGGTGCCTCAACCCGCCCGCCGCCCCTGGGGCTCACCGCGGCCCCCCGGCTGCTCCTAAGGCTCCTCTCAGCCCCCCACCTCGCCTCCTCCAGCCATCCCGCCTCCCCTCAGCCTTTCCCATCTCCTGTCAGCCTTCCCGACCTCCCCTCAGCCTGCCTTCTCCCATTCCATCAGCCTTCCCCATCCCCTCGGCTCCCTGATGCCCCCCGGGCAGCCTCTGTGCCTCCCCGCTGCCCCCCAGCCATCCAGCTGGTTCTGACTCCCGACTCTGTCCCGACCTCTCCCAGGAAGGAGCAGGGGGCCCCCCCTCTGCTGTAGCCACCAGGGAGATCCTTCCCACTCACCTCGGCCACTGATGTCTCCTCATGGTGCTGTTTCTCTCAATAAATCTTGGACCAGAGGACCCGCTGTGGTCCCTTCTTACTTGACTGATTCTGCGGTTCTCTCCTTCCTCTTCCCTGGCCCATGCAGAGCTTCCCCAAGCACTTCACACAAGCCAGCGGTGCCACATCCCACACCTGATGGCCCCTCCCCTGCCCAAACAGTGGAGGAACAGCTGGCAGAGGTCCCAAGGCCACCAAGACCACCATTCCAACCTACGTGTCACAGCACTCTGGAAAGAACAGACTTCCACAGCCCCTTTCTGCCTTCCCTGGGATCTGTCCTGTTGCCACAAAGACCTCAGTATGTCAGCAGGCGCGGCCGTGGGACTGGGCTGGCCTGCAAATTTGTATACAAAAAAGGATAAATAAAATAGTTCTGGTAATGGAAGAATTTCTTGCGTGGCAAACAGCTTCATCAGATCGTCCCTTTCTCAGGATGCCAGCTCCAGGCCCCTTGTGACACAAGGGAAGATGCGCCTAGCCCTGGCTCCTTGCCCTCAGCACCATTTGGGGAAAGACCCATCAGGTTCATTGGAAAGAAAAAATATATAAGGCAATTGTTTTGCTTCCACTCTTCCTTTTTAATGAAACACTTTCCAGTGTTTTAAGCAAAACACGACTTTTAGTTTTGAAATTTCCTTTAGAACCATTAAAATGTTGTAAAGCAGTTGAAGGCGAAGTGAGATATTTTGATTTTTGTCGCTCTGAAATGTTTCACTCAACACATTCTTCGTGTGTCTTGATTTGCCAGAATTTTTCAAGGGTTTCTGCTTTCTCACCCAAGACGTATCTATATATTTTCTGCTTTTTTGAAAAGGGGAAAAAAAAGGGGAGAAAAAATATCCTTTATCTCCACGGCTCCACAGGAAATAGAACTGTATCCAAGAAACAAAGAGCCAAGGGACTCCTCTGCAGAGGTCCAAACTTTCAGACACTTAGTCATGCCTTCACTTGCTTGCTCACACACCAAGTCTAGACATTTGCTGTCTCAAACCCTGGCAGGGGTTCTCCCACCCCCGGGGTCAGCCCAGGGTCTTTTGGGCTTGATTTTGAGCAGCTCCAAGGAGAGGCAGTGCAGCAGAGCTGAATGTGCACAGTGGAAAAGGGAGCACGATGGATGACAGGGACATTTGGGGACCATGGGATTTAGTGGCCTGCTGACCCTGCTGACACTTGTTCAGAAGATCATTCCCCATTTTCCAAGTCACAATGTGGTGCCTCAGCACACAGGAGAGTGCAGGAGCCAGAATGTCCTTTGGGGATCTGGCATGGGTAGGGATATGTGGCACACATGGGGTTGGTGAGCCCCAGGCAGCCCCATGGCATCTCAGAGAGAGCAGGGCAGAGCGACCCGAGCAGCTCCAAGGGAAGCATCCCAACAAAGGGCCTTGGAAGAGCTATATGCCAATGCAGAAATGGCCAGGACTGCCTCTGCTGTCTGCTGTAAAATCCTTCCTGTCAGAGATAACTAATCCTGGGGCCTTTACAACACCTCTCCTGAAAAGCACATTTCATTCCTCTGTCTCTTCCTGCCTTCCAAGTGCATGAGATTGCAATAGGTATTACCGAAAATATTCCCCATGGGAGCCGACACTGGACTCCCTTAAAACCCAAACACTATCACCCCTCCTTCCCCAAGACACAAGTGAGCACTATGCTCTATTATCTCTACACCCACTAAATCTTTCTGAAATAAAGAATAAACATTTCCACCACACATAGTGTAAGTGTATGTGCCAAGCTGCATCGCTTCCTCTCCTCTGTGGTTATTATAAAGTGGTTTTGTTTCAATGGCGAAGCAGATGGACAGCTTCCAAGTCTGGCCTCCCCACTCCCCCCGAGTACATCTAACACTATCTTTGGTTTATCACAGATTCCTGAAGAAAATGTTTATGGGAGCCTCTTGTTTAAAATCTTGGCTCCGTCGCAGTATGATTCCTATTATTTATTAAATGAAAATCAAGCCGTTGTTAATGCACCATTACTGTGGCAAAGTGGAGCCCTTGGAAACAAAGGCCAAACACACTCTCATTCTCTGACCGCGAGGGAAGCATCCCACTGTCACCATCCCTCAACGCTCATGCCGCCATGGAATGAGAAGCAGTTTTCTGGCCTGAGACTCCTTAAACACTTCCTTTTGCTAGGACGGCCACGGACTCTCTCCCTTTGCTGCCCCAAACCTGACATCCCAGAGCCAAACATCGTACAGATCGTACCTCACACCGTAGGAGGGGCTCTACTTAAGACACTTCTGTGGCCATACCCTTCCCTGTTCGCCATGACCAAGTTAATTTTCCTCCCTCTTCTCCAATTTTCCTCTGAAGAAAAATTTTCCATGGAAAACCCAAAGCCCTTCCTATTTCCCAGCCAGCCTCAGCCCCTTGTAACACAATGAACTCTGTACGGATAGCCTCCCCTGAGTTGGAGTGTGGCAGCATTTACATTCCTAACTGATTTTCAGAGGAGGTTCTTAAATTTTCCAGGAAATGTCGTGTTGCTGCTTTGAACTGATTGTTTATTTGTCAATTTAGTCATTAACCTTCTTCCTTACTCCTTTGGCTTTTGATAAGACAGAAAATGTCAAAGGGACGGGAAATAGGCTCAGAATGATTTCTCCTAGCAAAGGATCCCAGTCCCCAGAAGCAAAGGGAGTTTTCTCATCAGTTCAAGCAGAGATGCAGCTTCACTTCCAATGCCAGGTTAAATCAGCCTTCAGGTTTTTGCAGGGTTTGTGTGTTAGACTTTAGGAAAGCACTTGGGTCTTCTGGAGGGATCTCAACCTGCAGATCTCAAAGCCCTTTCAAAATGAGCTAAATACCCCTGACCCCAGTTAGGGTGGAAAGAGCCAGAATTAGATTCCTACTCACCCCATTCCCACCTTCATGTTCAGTACCCTGCATCACACTGATTTTGCCACAGTCATGGTTTATCCTGCTGAGAAATGTATGTCTTAATTAATATGTTGCTTATTAATATTACCTATTCATGAAATTATTATAAATAACCCAAACATGGGTACAATCCTACAACAAGAGAGGGGACCAAGTTCTGTTCACACAAAAATTTGTGGTATGTAAGCTTGTTTGTTATTTATTCAAATGCAAGGAACAAAATTCTTACCATCAGAAGTTTACCAAAAAGAAAAACGTCTTTTCCCAATAGCTGACATAAACATGTAAGTGCTACCAAACATATTTACATGTTTGAAATAGATGGTATAATTACGATGAGTTATAGCCAATATTCAGGCTTTCCCTGGTTTAAATGCTACCTTCTGATACAGCACAGCACATCCTTTAATTGTGATCACGTGCTCTTTCTTAGAGACTGTTGGAATTTTTTTTCCACAAAAGCGTCTATAATTGAAAAGAAAATGGCATTGTTTAAAATAAATTGTCTACCCTCCTGGAAATAAACAGGTGACTTCTCTTACAGAATGCCCTATTTCTGAGAGTTCTACATCAGAACAAGCCATCTGCAAAATCATTTAGGACGTTTTTCCAGGCCCCCAACTTGAATTTCAGCAAGGAAATGCAGTTTTTTGCGGACAGAAAAAAAAATTCAACAAGGATTTTGAAAACAAGTCAGGTAAAAGCTATCAGCGGAAATAGCAACAAAAGCAGTTGTAGAGTCCTTCAATAAAAGCAGGTCCATTCCAGACTCAACAAAAAGGTTTTTTTCCCCTCTTTCAACTGGCACTGATGTTCCTCAAAGGATACAAAATAGCTGTTAAATTCACTTTTATCTAGTGAGTCTCACATTCCGTGCAGTACTTTTATAAAGAGAAAGCCACATTAGAGGTACAAACTCATGGCTGTATTCCATAGATTCTCCATGAGATCTCACAAGTCAAGCCTCCAAATGGGACCTCTTCACCGCTAGCAGGATGGGCTGTCTTTCGTAGCAAGTCCATTTTCAGAAGATTTACCATGAAGTTATATCCCTATTCTTTTTGTACACATGGGGATATGGAGAGCCAAGAAAAAGAGGAGCCTTACCTCCGCTAGCAAGAGCCGAAGTGATCATGTAATGCCTACCTTAATCAACGTGTCTGTGAAAGGAATCCCCGCTGCCTCATGTGAACTAGAGGGATCTAGAATTACTTTCTTTGTAAGAAAATAATTTTCTTAGGTCCAGACTTACAGTTTTTGGGATGTTTTTCATCACATCATCTACCTTCGAGTGGTCTTTATGGAGCTCGTCTGCAGTCAGAAGTTGGTTTTCGTCTCTTGAGTCTTCCATGGGTTTCCAAGACTAGGAAAGACTGCCAAGGAAGAGGCTCAGCTACGGGTTTCTGATTTCACCTTCATAAAAGAGGAGTTTAAGGTTATCCCCAAAGACAATTCTCACCAGCTCTGAATTAAGGGATAGAGCAAATGCTGTCGGCCCTTCCACAGCAGTAAAGTTGGTGGGAAGCATTCCCTCCATGCAAAGGTGTGCCAAGAAGACCCTTGCTGCTCCTCTGAGACAGAACCTCACTAACCCATGCACTTCTCAACTGGCCATCCCCACAAAGCACTGAGCAATGAGGTCACAGTGAGGGACTTAGGTCTTGATGGTGGTAAGCAAGCCAACAGCTTTAATTTGCTGAAATGCTTTTCGATAAAATCCCCCCACCCCCACTTGGCTTGTTCACAGATTCCTTCAGTCTCTTGCGTAGGGGTTTGACCCATTGTTCCTGCAGGCTTTCCTATTATCAGCTGTCCCATCCTTTCTGCACAACTGCTGAAGTTGGACCTTAGCCTTTCATTTCATTTTCATTTGGCTTCTTCCCCAACTTCCCATATTTGAGCATTTTGCTTATTATCAGTCTGATCCCTTCTGTACTTTGCTCAGCTCCATTCTACTAATTGGTTCAAGTATGGACCCAGCATTCCCTAAAGGGGAGTCACTTCCCCTTGCACAGCATCACTGCCATGCATTCAACACCTTCCCCAGACTCCCAGAGCAGGAGCAACACTTCCTCTCCAAAAGGTGCTGGTGTCCTTGGACTGAATGGGTCTGAGACAATGATCGATATAATCACTGATATATGATTGTGTCCCATATTGGTTTTTCACAGCCCAGGAAACACGTCCCCTGGCAGGCCCTGAAGGTTGTAGGACAGATAGGCTTGAAACCAGACATCCATTTTCACTGTTGCTCTTATCAACAGCTTTCCCCATAATATCCCTATATTGTACACCACCTTGGGAGGCACCCAGATTTAGCCACTAGCCTAAAACTATGATGTTCACTTTAATTCCTATGAATTGAAAATATTTGGATTCTAGTAGGGTCAGACGAACCAAAGATGTTTGCACCACCCTTGTCGATGACCTTGTCTTTCCAGAACACAAGTCACCACCACTTCCCTGTGGCTCCCGGGTCATAAAGAGGTGTCAAAACCACTTGCCTCTCACTTGTGAGTACGGAGGCAGTGCTGCAGAGAGAATAGCCACAAATCACAGCAGCAGCTCTCCTGTCCCCAGACCCAGCCCAAGTTCACCAAGGACTTTTCTTTCCTTGGTCCACTGGGCAGAAAACCTGCAAAGCTTAATTTCTTACCACGCTTTCCCAGGAGGAAAAAAATCTCACCTCGAATTGCTGTCAAGTCGCATATCGTATCTCGCCCCAAAAAGACTTAGGCAGGTTAAGCCCAGAAGAAAGAGAAACTATCAAGGGCTGCTTGTTTGATAAGGGCACATGCACATTCCAGCAGCACCTGACTACTATGGGACATGAGGAGCTGGGAGGTGGGCTAGGGGAGCAAGTTGCTAGGCACAGTTCTCCAAAGGGGAAGCCAGAAAGGACAGGTTGCCACTGTCTCTGAACCAGAGTGGAGCCTGCAGAACAAACACTGTTTGCATCTCACAGTGTGCTCAAAGCCACCTACACTCACATTCTGTGCGTGGTCCACTGGCCCCATCAGCTCAGCACTGGCTGCAGAGGGAAAGCCACAGCCCTGAGAAGGGAAAGCCATGTTCACTTGGATTGGGGCTTTGGAAGAAGATCCTGTTGAGGCAGAGGTGGAGCTGTTGAATATTGCTCTGCAAGGAGCCTTCAGCCTCCCACACTGGCCTATTTACCAGCAGCTTCAACCTTTGCCACCTCTATTTAATGAACCAAAAAGTCAAGGTGTCCAAGGGATGGGGACAGAAGACATTTGCCAGAGGGCTGGAAAAAAGATGGGGGTGCTGTGGTCCTGCAATGGGGAAGATAAAAGGACATATAACACTCAAAAAGCTACCAGCAACTCTAACATGCTGCTTTTCCCCCAGTCTCATGCTGGGTAAGGTCCTCAAACGATGTAAATTAATAAATCTCATTTGAAGAAGTACCGATTTAACTCAGAGTAAAGACCTGGCTTTCTAATTTTTACAAGTCCTGAGTGGGACCCCAGATTTCAAGGTCCAGGCTGGAAAGACCCCACTTGGCTCACATTGCTCTGGCCTCAAATAAAAGAGCTGAAACTCCTCCTGTGTTCCAGGCTTTCAGCCCCTTCTTCCAGATAATTGTTCTTTCCCCAGTTGGATAGTCTAGTTCTGGAGTGATACAAGAATTAGACCAGAGAGAAAGACAGTGGCAGAGCCCAAGGAGGAGTGAGGAGAAAAGTCATCCCAGGTCCCTACTGTCCCCATGGAACAGGCAGTGTTTGGCCTCCAGTAGCCAAATGGGGATGTAGTGGGAGGAGAGAAACGGGAGCGGTGTGCTGGGAGATGCATACTGCCATAAACAGAAGGGAAAGAGAGAAGAGGCAAAAGAAGCCACAGGCAAGAGGAGGTTTTTATAGTCATCAGCCCCCCTCACAACTGACATGCCTGACCTGTGACCATCCCAGGGGTGGGCAGCAGATGCAAAAGAAGCCATATGCTCACCCAGAGATATTCTGTACCTTCTTCTCAGAGCTCTGTCCCAAGCATGCAGGGCAGTGTTTGGCACGTCAAACCACCCCTAGGCCAGGCTTCTTACTGCCTCAGCTCTGCCCACAGCAGTCTGCTGACTCTCAGTTAACCCTATCTCCCAGCCCTGCTCCATCTCCCTTCCCAGCCTGCTCAGTGCTGGGGGCTGGGTATGCAAACCATCCCACCAAGACATGCTCTCCACATCCAACCCTTTCTATTTCCACTTCTTCCTCCCATTCAGCTGAGACAGAGCCAGGCTGAGAAGGGTCAGACTCACCCCACGAACACCAAGGCTCAGTGTAAACCAACAGAGCAGTTCCCAGGGCTTGGGTTGGAGAGTTTGGAAATACCAGGCATGTCTCCTGACACCTCAGCAGCCTGCCAGTCTTGTGACCTGAAATCAAGGCTGTCAGGGACTGCTCAGAGCTAATAGCAGTGGTTATTTGTGTTCGAGCTAAGGGGCTGGCTCAGAAGCTTTAGGCAGTCACTGTTCCAGATAACAAAAAAGGGTAGTCCTTGCACATGCACTCTGGACACATCTGGGCAGCCTCTGCTCCTGGGCACTATCATGTGGCTGAAGTCAAAGGCACGAGTCTGGAAGAGGAAGAAAGGCAGAGCTCTATGAGAAAGAGCAACATCCATTCTTTTGATAACAGCACCTCCAACCTGCTGGTAAAAGAGAGGCAGGAGCTTTGCCTGGTCTGGAGCACAGGTCAGACCACAGCAGGGTGCTCCCTGCTTTACTCCTTGACCAGACAAATGTCACTTCCCAAAGCATGTTCATCCTTCTTCAAGCCAGTGCTTGGTAGGTGGACTGCATGTGGACTGGAGGCCACAGTGCTGCCGTCAGCCCTGGAGAAACATCCCAGAAGAAAACAGTCCCTGGGAGAATGCACCATCACAGCCTGCTCTGGAAGAAGACAGCATCTGCCAGGTCTTCACTGCAGGTAGGACAGGGACCTTCACTGCACAGAAACCCAAGTGACCACCAGCATCATGAGAATGGCATTGCACTAAATTTACTCTGTGGAGCTGGGGTCAGACTCTAGCCCTGGCTTTTACACAGCTTTTTTATCATCTCCCCTCACCACCACTTAACTCCAAACCCAAGCACTGGAATAACCCAATACCATCAATTAAATTGCCTTGGAGGAAACAAAATGTGCATTTTTACAGTCCTAAGACAGAGCCCTGTTCTCATACATGATCAAAAGGGTTTTTAAGATGCACGAAACACTTGCATCAAAGGCAAATATTATTGCTTCCTGACTTTTTTTCTTTGGAACCTAAAGCAGATGAGAGAGAATTCATAATATGGAATAAGAGGTGCCCCTTAAAACAAGAAATCAATGTATCTAGTCCTCAGCTGATGTAGGACTGGATGGATTCTTCATACGGGTAGAAGAATGGTCCTGGCTTGGTGCTGGAATTGCAGTAGGAGAAAACTGTAGTGGGAGACAAGAATCATTTCATGATGGACTAAAGAAAAAAAAAATTCAAATTTCTGAATCTTCCTATTAGATGAATGATTCTGCAGAAGCATCTCTTCCCACATGCTCAAACACCCTTCCCCTGACTAAAGGAGAGTGACAGTGTTTGTTGCATACACAAATCCCACACATGCTCTTCCCATCCCGTTTCAGGTAGTGCTTCCCAGGCTGTATCAAGTGCAAACTGAAATCACCTGAAGAGTGTCGCTTTAAAAGCCACGGAAGTGCAGAGAGCAGCACCAGCAGCAGTCAATAGCAATTTCCACCGCCGGGTCGATACCATCTGATGGCTGTGTAGCTGTAAAGATTGTTTCACACACATATCAGGAGGTGGGCAGGGGCAGGAAAAGTGGAATTGGTTTTAATGATTGCAGGATTCAAAGTACTCCTGGCTCCCTCTCCCTCTTCTTCTTTCATAAGAAATACACGCACAAAGAGTCAGAAATCAAATTTCCAGCCCTGTCAGTTCCTATCACACCAGCTCCCCAGCTTGGACTCCTTCCCAGTTTGCCAGGGAAGCTTCTTCTAATCCACTGAGGAGAGCATTACCGGGAGACGGAGCTGCAGCCTGTGTCCAAACTTCCCTGCAGTCTCAGGTCATTAGCTCCACCGGTTTGGACACGGAGCTACAGCACAAGTGCAGCGCTCAGGTTCAAACCCAAAGGGTTTCCAGATGAGGGTAATTTGCAATATTTTACCTCCCCAGACAAGATCAGCATCTCATTTTGCTAGATGCTGGATAGGCAGGGAATAGTAGGCAGCACAAACAACTAAACACAACAAAGAGAGAGGGTACTCGCTTTGCAGAGAAAATGTGTGAATGGCTCTAGCCTAAAAATAATAGCCCATTGTGTTTCTGCTGCCTCATAAAGAGCTTTTCAGCCACTGACTCCAGGGGCAACACATGAACGATCCTGTCTTGGTCAATGTTAAGAGCATTGCTGTGGGAGGAAGGAGGTCGGTTCTATGGCCTGAGGTTTCCAGGGCTGGCCCTGCGGTCCCAGCTCTGCTTTTTGGCTCCTGTAAACGTGCTCAAATACCAGTCACTGCTTCTGTTTCCCTTGCACTGTGTCTCCTGCCTGAGGCACGGACTCTTTCTTACAGGGTTTCACTAGCTGTAGCTCTGATCTCTGCTAGGAAAATCTCTTAAATGCTTCTGCAGTAAATGAAAGCCAAGAACTGCATTTGCTTTTCAGAAAATAATGAACATTGGTTTGAGTCTTTGTTTTCTAATACGTTTATTCACTGACTTCTAAACACAAACTTCTCCCTCGCCATCACATAAATAAGCAAGATAATTTTCCAAGGAACTGAGTCACCACCAGTGTTTCCTCTGACCTTTAGTGCCTGGGTAGCAAGGCAGGAGCAGAGCTGGGCAACTTCGAGCATCTCCCTCTGAAAACTGGGGCAAAGCATCCTCTCCAGGGTTCATCAGGGTGTGCCAGATGCAACAACCCACTTCCTCTGCTCCTCGAATCATTTCGTAAAACACAAGGCAGGGCTGTCTTAATGTGCCCATCATGGAATATTTTATTGACATCTTAATTTAGGCCTCGTATGATAACTGAGAAGCAAACACAATAACCACAGGCATATGCTACCAACTTTCCTTCACCTTGTGGGACGCCACATGAACCTGTAGATGTGTAACACATGGACACACCCATTCTTCCCTCTTTTTCTCCCAGCCCTTAAGACATCGACCCCTATTTGCTGCAGCTTTTTATTTTACTTTTAAATAAATACTCGAGCATTTTGGGGCCTGACCACCAGCTTGATTCTTTTGTAGAAAGGATAACACATATGCACAAAATCCCAAGGGGTTAGAAGAACGCTCCCAAACTCCCAGTCTCCAGAGTCCTTTTAGAAGCAGAAATGACAGGTAACAGTACCCAAATCTTGAAGCCTGCAAATGGTGAGTGAGGCAAAGCTTCACTGCAAGGGTAGGACTTGCAATTAGTAGGACTTGCTGAAGTTCTGAATCAACAGAAAACCACCTGGGGTTCAGCCACCAAAGCTACTATTGCTCTGGATATCCAGCTTCACAAATAGGTTTTTTCCTGGGAAGAAATATAGAGAGGAATGAAGGAAGGGGAAACACATGATTTCAATATTTTTAAACAAGGCATCTTGCTGTTTCATTTTGAAATGCTTCTAATTTATACCAGTAGTGTCAGGAGATACGGGGAGGGTGACAAACACAGTGCAAGATGAAAAAATCTGAAGTCTTGGGATTACTGAAGCACGTTAGCTCAGCTGAGAGAGGTTGACACAACGCAGTGGACCTCTGACCCTTGAAGGAAGCTGGAAAATAAACTCCATCTCCCTCCACGTGCATGACACTGATGGTGAGGCCACTTGTGCCCTTCAGCCTGCCCAGCAATGCAGAAAAACCTGCAGATGATGAACACTTGAAATTCAGAGATGTCGAGGTCATACAGGCCACCCACATTAACTAAACCTACCCTGGTGCTGAGCAGGGAGAAGATCTGTAGGAATTTCAGGTCAGTGTCTGCCCTGCCTGTGGAACCACACACAGTGGAAGAAGACATCCCCTGAGGCCCACAGTGTCTCCTTGGCAAGTTCTCAGCTTTGCTAATTATTCACCAAGCCAGCACCCACCACCCCTTCTGCTCACGATAAACCAAAACATCACAGAAGTCTTGATGCATTAAAAAAAAAAAAAATAAACCGGCAAATTATTTTTGTTTCTCTTTTGAGTAATTGTTTTCAGGTTTCTGCAAAATAAAGAGTGGAAGGTCCCTGTAATGGCTCAAGTCCAGAGGCTGGGACTTTAAATAAAATCCCACGCACTGGGAGATGCTCAAGGCAGTGGCGAGGACAGCTTCTGCTCTGCCTGTGCTCAACCCTGCAAAAGACTGAAAGGGCTCTGTCTGCTCAGCAGTCAAAGAAAATCTTCGTCGTTACTTGATCCCAGATACCCACAGAGTGAAAATAGCTGAGATTGGCATGTTCATTAGGCTTACAGGTAAAAGGCACAGTAAGCAGCAAAACCCAAAATAAATAGTGGGAGTTGACAACACCGAGTGAGAGAACCTTGCATGAGAAATAAAAGACAATTTTGAGCAGGGAGGGTAGTTAATCACCAGGCCTGGTTACCAAGGGAAATGGCAAATTCAACATCAGTCAGAGGTTGTGCATGCAGACTGGACATCTTCCAAAAAGCAACACTATGGTTCAGGATCAAGTTTTTGTGTTCAAGAGCATCTCTCAGAAGAGAATAACACCCTCACAGCCTCCATGGGTGCTGCTGGCCTGAGCTGCCAGGCAAGTGGGCAGGGGTCGTGATGCTGCAGAACTCCTGTCTCTCAGCCCAGCCTTTCCCCCCAGCCTGGCTCCCTCAGTCTCAAGGAGGCTGGTTCAGGGGGCCCAGCCAAGAGGTGAAACCCTGCTCTGACTGTGGCCCTTCTCCAAACACCCTGCCTGAGCCAGGCTCTGAGTCCCAGCCTCTGTCACGCTCAGCCCCAGCGTGGTGCTCCTGGAGACCGTGGAAAGCTGTGCTGGAGACCCTGCACCAGAGCACTGGCTGCCCAACACAGCAAGGAGGCAGAATAATCATCTCTTTTTCTTTACTCCTTTTTTGTCTCTGCATCTGCTCCTTCCTTCCTTTAGCTGCCATGCAAAATCCAGCCCAAAATACACGCTCTGGCTTCCATTTACTCCTTCGGGCAGTTTCCTTGATGCCCAAGATGCTGATTTGAACTGGCCTCTCTCTTAGTGCCACCTTACCACCAGCTTGGCTCCCCATCCCTCCTTGGAAGCAAACACAAAAATCCAAGGGCAAGGCAAAGTGGCCTTGGCATCCCTGATGTGCTCCTGCACACCTTGATCTCCCAACCATCACATTTTTTGGGAAAAAAGCAAAATGGATCAGTCTCTGCCTTCCAGTTTTGATAGAAGACACGGAGAGGAAAAATGCCAGCTAGTACGTCACGGCGCCGCAGTCCCTGCACAGAGGTGACTCCCCACATTCCGAAGGGCAGAGCTGTGCTCTCTCCCCTCCTTCTGCACCAATCAATATGGCCAATTTAAACAGGTTTCCAAAGAAAGCAAGTGCCTGCAGCTCATGCTGCTTCCCTGACCCTTGTAAATCCAGTCTCTTGAGTGAATGGCTTGTTTGGAGAGAGCCCTCCGTTTGTTTGTCTGGGCTCTAGTGATAATAGCTCTAATTTATCTCTGAGCTGGGCAGGCATGTCTAATGTGTTTGAGTATTTAGAAGCATTACGGAGGTTTCATTTGGTCAATTGTTTCTTGAAATCCTTTCCCACACACAGAACAGCCATGCAAAGGTAGAACTGCTACACAGTGGGCAACCACAGGAGCTGCAGCCTGAGCTGCCAGTCTGGGAAGGGCACCCACTCTGGGGCAGCTGGATTCATGGAAGAGAAGGCGTGGTGACCCCAAAGCCCTTAGCACCCAATCTCAGAAATTAAAGACCAGGCAGATGACCTTTGAAAGGAACAATGACAAGACAGTCTGGAATGTGGCACCACATCTCCTCCTGCTTAGACCTTCCCACCCTATTGGTTTTATCATCCTCCGTGTAGGCACACTCCATCTCAGCCCAGACTGGACAGGGTTATCTTGGCATCTGCACTGGAAAATAAGCACAGTTGGCCAACACATTGTTCCTAATCTTAAATTAACCCTTCCTGCACTCTGAAGTCCATTCCAGCTGTAATCCGACACCTGCTGAAGACCCTTTAAGCTGGGTCCCAGCAGAAGGGGGTTAACCTGAGTCAGTGCAGGGGAACAGCGAGATGTGAGATGAGGTCACAGGTAGAGCATTCAGTCCAGCTACCAGAGTTAAGAGTTACGGATTGAGACTCCTCGTCTTAACATGCTCCTGCACATCACCTGCGCTGTGCCAGCAGCCTGCGCGTGCTCCGGCCCGTGACAAATGCGAGGTCACGTGCTTCGGCTTAAATCACTTTCGTGGAGGTTTCAGCAATTCTCTTCATGCCATTTCAGCTAATTTTAGCTGCGAGCCGAGAGGCCGTTACTGAGGTTCAGCTGACTGGTGGCAATTTATCAGGTCACCCTGTTGGGGTAGGGAGCCCGATCCGACTCAGCTCTGCGCTCTCCGCTCTCCCTTTCTGGACACAGGAGAACCGAGAACCAAACCTGTAACCCCGGAGCAATTTAACAGACCGTTAGCATGAGCAATCCCCCATCGCTCCCCATGGCTGTCCTCTGTACCAGCCCATGCACCAAGGTGCAACCAGTGCCCGGGTGGAGAGTGTTGGGCATCGTGCAGCCGGGAGGAAATGACGCTGCAGCTCCCCGGCTGCGACCGTGGGGCTAATTTATAGAGGCTGAATGTAATTACTTACCCTGGCACACGGCCAGGACACCAAGGTTAACACCCTTGCTCTCCAAAGAGTGCCAGGGGAATGTTAGAGGGATGCTGCCAAGTCATTTTATACTCCTTGACTTCAGGTGTTGCAAACAGCAAGATTTAGCAAGGGCCAGTCGGGAGGAGAAGGGTCGTCATGGAATTTTTTTTAAAAAGCAACACAGAAGAAGGGGATTTCTTTCTGCTTGACTGTCTGGGTTCATTAACTTAAACTTTACTGTGCTGCACCAGGGACCCAAGTACAACAGCCCTGCAAAAAAAGCAAGGACTTGCAGATGCCCTCTTTGGTTGCTTTGGAAAGTTTTGAGTCTCTCTTGGCTTTGCTAGAGAAACCTTGCAAGGCCTTGAAATATATCGTTTCATCTCTGTCCCTGAGCTCCCTGTCCCTGCGATGGCCTTGGCAGTGTCTGAGCTGTCAAATCCTGGAGCAGGGGCTGGCGCAGACACCGCGTCTGTGCCGTGCTGGCCAGAGCAAGTGCTTGGCTCCACAGACTCCTATGGTTCTGGCAAAAGTTTCCCATGACTCTATTTTTTATTTTTTTTTACATGGGTTTAAAGCCAACTGAAATAGCCCTTGTTAAAAATAAAAGCCACCAAATTTAGCCTTCCTTCCCTCTTCCCCCACCACCTCCCATTTCCTGGAGTATTTGCAACAGGCAGCTGGTTGGGAGGTTTTTCCCCAGGGATTTTGTCTGCTATTTATAAAGCTTTGATGAAAACATGCAAAAGAAAGAGAAAGAAAAAAAAATAAATCAGCTTCCAGGTGACCTCTTTCCTTCTGCAGCAGCTCTGCTCCCCGCAGCAACGAGGCATCACGGCAGCCACGGCTTCAGGGACCACATCCAGCATCCTTTGGGGTCAGTGCAATCCTGCCCTCTGCCTTCCCTGAAGGTTATCTCCAACCCCCTCTCTGTCCTTGAGGGATATAGCAATGAGAGATATAATTCCCTTCATTTAAGCTTTACTAGTCTAGCAAAAAACTTTCACAACCCCCCCACCTCTTAACAAGTGCCATGTTACTGGCAAGTGTCCCTGGAACTTACTGGTTTGGAGTACTTATAGAAACATAGAATGTTTTGGGCTGGAAGGCACTTTAAAGAACACCTCATTCCACTCTCTCTTGCCGTGGGCAGGGACACCTTCCACCAGACCAATTTCCTCCAAGCCCCATCCAACCCCTTGAACACTTCCAGGGATGGGGCATACACAGCTTTCTGGGCAACCTGTGCCAGGGCCTGACCACCCTCACAGGGAAGAATTCCTTCCTAAAATCCAATCTAACCCTGGCCTCTGTCAGTTTAAAGCCATTCTCCTTTGTCCTATCACTCCATGCCCTTATCCAAAGTCCTTCTCCAGCTCTCTTGTAGCCCATTTAGGTACTGGAAGGTACTTTAATGTCTCCCTGAAGCCTTCTCTACTCCAGGATGAACAACCCCAACTATCTCAGCCTGTGAAAATGACTCTGGCCTTCACCTTAGCCCATAAACTCAGACAGAAAAGGGCAGGGCAGGACAGGAGTCCCTTTACCCTCTGTAGGTCACTTTTCCAGGAGGAGGGCAAGGACAAGCATGGCAAGAAGAGCAGCCACAAGGCAGCAACCCCCACGGAAGGGCTGTGACCTCTGCATGCTCTGCTCAGCCTGATGTGGACCCGGGGCCACTGTCCATCCCAGGAGCATCAAGCCATGCTCCCAACTCCTGTAGCTGCAGTGATGCCTATTTATCTATACGTGCATGTCTGTATGTACTACGGCATGCGTGCGATGCTTATTGAGATAAATAATATTTTGAGAACAAACATTTCATTTTAAAAGTCGCTGTCTCTGACAACAAGTTAATTGTCTATCATATCATCTCTCAAACCCAAACATTTTGAAAGCTAGGAAATAACTAATTAAGATCATCATAAATCTTGCTCTGTCTCACAAGCCCATTTTCCGAGGAAATAGGAAGAAATACATATTTCATCACAATGCAACATCTGTAACTCTGACCTATAAGATATTAATGACTAGTTCACGTGGCTTCTCTGTCTAAACACTTTCTTGCAAAGGTTGCTATAAGGAGGCACAGGATAATTATTTGGTAACACTGTCCTGGCAATCTGTCTTCCAACAAATCCATAGACAGAGATAGTTTGGAGGGAAAAACAAAAGACCACATTAGGATCTTCTCGTCTAACACAAACCACGTGACTTCCTTGGATCCATTTCACTTCAAAACAGGACAAATCTCAGAGAGGAACATAATTCACTGCTTCCAGTTAAAGCTGTGCTCCCTCTTCCTCCTTCAGACAACTGCTCCCAAAAGGCTCCTTACACCCAGGTCTCTACCCATATCTGAGGCTTTCCCCAAATGCCTGTTTGGCCACAGCTTTGAAGAACAGCTGGCCATTTCTAGAAGACAACTTCAGATTAATCCTGGATAGATAAATCAAGCTCACTAGAGAAGATGCACAAAGCTAGGCCAGAACTACAACACTGTTAATGCACTCAGTGTGACTGAAGAGCTTGAGGATTTGAACACGGAGGAAATTTTAATTACTTTTTTTTTTTTTAGTTAGAGTTTGAAATGCAGGTGGGACAACCATTCAGGCAAGGCTTTGAGCCAGGAACCATGTTTTATAGGAAAAGTGTGTTCACAATTAGCGTCAGGACTACAAAGGGAAAAAGATGACACGGGGGAGAGATCAGCAAAGGAAGACACATCTGGAAACCAAGAAATACAGGAACAAAATGAAATTTGGCAGGACTCAGGTGGAGCTAGACCTCAAAGGGGAGACAGAAACACAGGAAAAAGTGTTTTCATCATAAAAAGAGAGCAAGAGACAAAGTACAACTGCTCCACACTCATAGTGGAGGTCTCTGTTAGGGTAGTTTGGACATGGCCCCAAGAATAAATCAATACTCAGTGCCTGGTGAGGGCAACAGCAAGAGCAAAATGAGAGCAAAATGTAGAAATGGCAATGATCCTCACCCATGTGATGGCCCAGGGCCAAGGGAGGCAGATATTCCTCATAGTCCATCACTTGGAGAGGCAGCATCAAAGTCACCCTCTGTGACTGCAGGGTGGGAAATGTAGCACCTCTGCAAAGCCAGTGGGTCAAGGGTCTGCAAAGCCTCAAGACAGGTTTGAAGCTGGGATCATTTGGGACTTGGAGCTCACTACACGGAAAATGAGCCAAAAGCACAACACTGGCTCCTGCAAATTTGCGTCTCAAAGGGCAAATCCCCAAACCTGATTCATAGATAAAACAAAAGGATCAGCTGGGGAAGACTTCAGCAAATGGGGCCCCATGGGACACATCCCGTTGGAGTGCGAGGATGGGGAGCATGGGACAAGGGAGGACAGGGAGCATGGGAAGCAGAGAGGCTTCAGCTGAAAGACTGCAGAAGTGCTCTGCAAGACCATGTGTTTGCTTTGGGCACAATGAGCTGATTCCAGCCAAGCAACTGCCCCAAACCAATCCACTTCCCCATCCACGAGCCAGGGCCATGGCAGGAGCAGAAACTCCTGGCCTCAGGGTAGAGTGGGCTTTGATGCAGTTTAGAGTGGGAATTCAAACATAATGCTACGTATAGAGTGGCTCCTCCACTGATGGAGCCCTGATTTTGTGAAGGGCATATTAATTTAAGCTAAAGGAAAAACAGGCCCTCTTTATGCTGGAATGAAAATGTCTAGACAGAGCCTTCCTGCTGTAACTGGACCTACATATACTGATCATGATACACCTGATAAAACTTTCCAGGTAGACAAGGACTAAGAAAGACTTTGGCAGAAGTTTCATCAGAAGCCATTTCAAAAGTCTTCAATCTCGAGAATTACTTATGCTATGTAATGAAGTCTGCATTATGGCTGTTCATTACATGAACCCTGAACAGTAGAAAGCAAGAGGATTTTCTCTGGCATTCCGACAGGAATCCACGGCATAGACAAGGCTGGCCCTCAGCGTGAGGTCATATCTCCCTCTAGCTGCTGGTCTCGGGGACTCCGCAGCCTTTGACCACCCAACTCCTGCACAAGCTCCCCTGTGACTTCTCCTGCAAGCTGGTGCTCCCAGTGCTGCAGGTCTTGGGGTCACTTCTTGCTGGCTGAAGTGCTCCTCCAAGGAGTGCATAACAGCTCATCTTTTGGAGAGGACATACTCCAAAAGGGAGCGAGAGAGGCCAAGAGTAAAAGCATGAGGTTGATGGCTTCTTTAAAATAAGCCAGTGCAGGCTAGTCAATGTGGCGTGAAAAGAGCCCAGGACCCTCTGCAGAGAAGACATCCTACACTGAGATACTCATGGCTTATTACAGAACCATAGATTCATTTGGCTCAGAAGGGATCTTACAGATCATCTTGTTCCAGTCCCCCTGCACTGGGCAGGGACACCTTCCACTAGACCAAGTGACTCAGAGCCCCACCCTGGCCTTGAACACTTGCAGGGATGGGACATCTGCAGCTTGTCTGGGCAGCCTGTTCCAGTGTCTCACCACTCTTACAGTCAAGAATTTTCTCCTAATATCTAACCTAACCCTGCCCTCTGTCAGTTTAAAGCCATTCCCCCTTGTCCTATCACTACAGGTCCTTGTCAAAGTCCATCTCCAGCTCTCTTGTAGGCCTCTTTCAGGTATTGAAAGCCGGTGGTAGTGACTCCTTCTGGCAGGTGCCAACCAGGAATCCAGATGATCAACAACAGCAACACACCAAAAAAAAACCTCCAAGAAAAAACTTTCCTTAACTGCAATTTATTTTGTTCAGATACATCTGGACATGTAAGTTTTCTAGAAGCATCAACAAGCTTTGAGGAGCAAGAGACAGAGAGCAGCAGGAAAAAATCAACACTTCAACAACTAGAAAGGGTCCAGCTGAAACACTCTCAACTCATGAAGCTCTAAAATAATGCTCCTCAGGCACAGCGGGAACTTTATCAGCTCTTCACAGTCCAAACACAATTTCCAGCTCCAATCACTTTTCTAAGCCAAACCCACAGGAGAAGTAAAATGGGACTTTTATCAGGCAGCTGAGCACACCCTGAGGCTCCTTATCCTCTAGTCAGGCGAGCTATTGGCACAGGAACTGGCTGCCGTGCTATTTCCAGCACTGGTTGTAGCAGAGAAGTGTTATGGGGCAAACAGCACTTCAAGCCACCTTCCAGGCTAGGGCTGGGGAATACCTCAGACCTCTGCTAAATTCACCTTGCTTTTCCCAGGATCTCAAAGCAAAGCATGTCTGTATGGCAAGGCAATGGCCACAGCTCTGCTCTTCCCCTTAACCGAATCCTGGCTCTCCGGATCCCCTCTGCAACACCTGTAGAGATTCAATAGAGCCTTCTCACATCACCTGAAGGTCCCTTTACATTGCCCATGGACTATAGAGGGGCTCCAGGCTGGAGCCAACTGTGGAGCATTTCTGTGACAGATCCTGGCAAGACTGGTGTGTTGGAACAGCCACACACTCACACATAGAAACACACAGTGTCCACCTTGCAAAGTTTCCCCTGGATTTTTGTTACCATGTCATCTATTAATTACCTAATTACATCTCCTAATTATGGGATTCCTCCAGTATTTATACTCATTACATAAATGGCGGCAATTACACTAATTAGGTTAATGATACAGGATAACAGTCTACAAATTGCTTTAAAGGGACACTCTCAAGGCACACAGGCCAAGGATGCTCCCTGGCAGGTCAGCTGGTGGGTGGCATGCAGACATGCTCCTTCACCCTGCGGGGATGCTGCTGTGTCTGCTGCTGCCTCCTCGACTGGCCTCTACCTGAGCACTGGGGCTGCCACTGTGGGGCCTCACTCTGCCTCAACAGAGAATGGCTGCAAACAGAGCTACCAGGGAGCTAAGGAATCCTTGAATCATAGAGCAGTTTGAGTTGGAAGGGGTCTTAAAGCTCATCTCTTTCCAACCCCACGCCACAGGCAGGGACACCTTCCACTAGACCAGGTTGCTCTGAACCCTGTCCAACCTGGCCTTGAACACTTCCAGGGATGGGGCAGCCACAGCTTCTCTGGGCAACCTGTGCCAGTGCCTCACCACCCTCACAGTTAAAAATTACTTCCTAATAACTAATGCTCTATTGCTTCCACTGAAAACTGTGGTCCACCGCGTAAGCATGACTCTCCCTAAGCTGGAAAGCTGAAGTAAGGGTTGCAAATATTTCTTTTCTGGCTGTATGGAGACCTGAGAGG